GCAGTTTGAATCCACCAGCAGCTATGAGGGAGAAAGAGAGGCAGTCTCGGCCCCTGCAATTTACAGCCTTGGAAACCCAGTGGAGGGGCTGCTGAGTTGATTCCAACTCAACAGTAAGAAGTTTTATGTTTTGAAATGGATAAATTATAGAAATTTTTGAGTCTGAGAATATTCTACCTATGAGGAGCTCTGGTGGCCTAATGGCAAGAAGCTGCGCTGCAATACCAAAGTCACACAGTTGGAGTCCACCAGCCGCTCCATGGGAGAAGGATGGGCAATCTCCTTCTGTGTGATTAACTGCCTCTGAAAACCCACCAGAGGGTCAGCTATGTGTAGGTTCCGACTTGATAGTATACAACAACAACAACAGACATAAAAGTCCTGTTGGTACATGATGGGTAGATTTTAGAGCACAAATCAGTTAATCCTTAATTCTATAAAGTACTTTAAACAATAAAAAAAGAAAATCTCATTGCTATCAAGTTGGAAGCAACTCACAGCTGGGCCTTTCAGCACATTTCTAAGGTTATAAAGAGCACAAGAAGAAACGGCTTATTTTTCTACTAACAAGCCTCTGATGGAGTTGAACCACTAAAGAGACAGTCTTCAGGTAAGCAGTGAAACTCTCCAACAGACTACAGAATCAGGGCTCATGAAAGGAAAGCTTTAGTGGTATAAAGAATTGCTTTTAAACAGTCATGTGTTTGATCCCTGACTAACACCTTCATGCACAACAGGTTCATCAGATGATCATAATCCATAGATTTTGAGTGGATTATTTTCAGGAGTAGACAGTCTTTCTTCCTAGTCTGTTTTAGTCTGGAAGCTCCACTGAAACCTGTTCAGCCTAAATACTCAGGCCCCCAGTGAGAGAGTGGTGAAAGTCATCCTTGAGTGCACTGTCTGGGAATTGTATTAGAATCAAAAAAATCAAAGGTATGTTGTTGTTATGTGACATCAAATTGCCTTAACTAGGTCATAGCCCTGATCCATGTACAGGGAACTGCCCCTTCCATCTGACCTGAATCACTTCATGTAAAATAAGAAACGAGAGATAAACAAACTTGGAGGTACCTCTGTACCACTAAGAAAGAAGAGTTAGGAATGGAGTGCATCTTTGGATTCAGGGTCATTGAGCTGAGAACCTCCTAGGCCTAGGGGAAGACTGCCAAGACCCACTGATATACCAAGGAGGCTGTGACCTAGTTAAGGGTGTTGTATCCCACCCTAACCCAAATAGCCTAGTCCTCTTTAACATCATCTAACCCTGCCTCTTTGTCACAGAATTTACAATATATCACAAATGGAGAATAATTATATCAGATTGCATAATGAAGGAGGAGGGGTGATTTTATCATAACTCAAACTACTGAGAATCAAAGCCTAGCCAAAATGAGACACATTTTGGGGGATACAATTCAAAGACACAGATAATCTTAAGACTTTGTTGTGGGGAAATCCTTCATTTTAGATGAGCTATTCTCATCTAGCAACAATCTGTCCCCACAGGACACTTGCAATGTCTGGGGACATTTTAGTTGTCAGAACAGAGGGTAGAAGAACACTGCTAATATTGAGTAGATGGAGGCCAAGTATGTTACTAAATATCCTACAATGCACAGGGCGGCCGCCCCCAGTAAAGAATTACTGGACCATAAATGTTAATACTGATGATGAGGAAAAGCCCTAAGTAAGGGAAAAGCTCTAAAAACAAAAGGTACCAACTTATTTCTGACTCAGAAAGACCCCAAGTGTAGCAAAGCAGAACTTTTCTACATAGGATTTTCAGTGACTATCAGCCGCTAATAGAAAGTCAGTACTTCAAACTTGATAGCTGCTCCAAACTTGATAGAAGATGTGGCAATATGCTTTGTAACCATTACAGCCCTGTAAAATACAAAAGGGCGAGTCTAGCCTATCCTATCGAGTCACTAAGATTTGAAATTAACTCAACAGCAAAGGGTTTGATGTTTATGGCACCAGATAGGCCAAACTTTCTTCTGCAACCAAACTGGAAAGACTTTTAACTATCAAACTCTCAGCAACCAAGTACAAACTAGTGGCACTCAGGAAGCCACCTCTAAAATAGGGCTCAAAAACTGCCTTTAGCTTTCTATACCCTCATTTATTTAACTATCAAAGCATGACAGTGAGGGGAAAGGGCGGGCAATGGGGAAATCACAGGGTCGCACAATTTGATGAGTACAGGGAGGGGATAAAGGAAATGGGAAAGATCCAATGGGGACCTAAAAAAACAACAACAGGGTAATAGTGGATATAATTCAATGAGGATATAATGTATGGGAATGACTGTGTGAAACACAATGTGAATGACGGAAAGTGTAAAACATATAAGAATACTGCAAACAAACCAATATAAAACAATTTTTTTAAAAAAAAACCATTACTGGGTTCATTTTTAGATCTGGAATTTTGTCTTTATTTTCTCTTTTATAGTACGTAGGGAACTGACTCAGCTTCTTTCCAAGCAGCATTATTTGGTACATTTAACAACATAAATGAATGGTCCTGAAGTGCAGGACTTGTCTCTTCAGTTCCTTTATTCAAGTACTGTCTCTTGCCAGTCAGACAATTTCACCTCAATGAGATGCCCAGCAAAACACGATACTAACGTGAGAAAAGTTATCCACAGCATTTTGGAGGAAGTCATTTGAAAGGCTGACAGAGGCTACGTCGAGGTCCAATTTTGTCAGTACTCTTTCAGTTCCTGTTTTGAAGGCATTGTTGGCAAACCAAATTAATCATTGCTGTACATCATTCTAATTAAGTGGGCTGCCAAAAACCAACCTGGAGTGATGTCAGTGGCCTATCCCCGAGCTTTATATGAACTCGATGTCAATAGCTGGCACACGATCTCTGATAGCACTGCTGAAAAGCAGATTCAAAGAATGCAAAGGCTAAAATTAAAGAACTACTCCTGCTACTCAGTCCTAAAAATGTACTCGTCTAGCTTCTGCAGCTACAATTATAAAGAATACTAGAAACACTTTAAAAATAATAAATAAAAAATGTCAACAGAGATTATCTGGGTCAACTCTGTCCATTTAGAAACAGGAACCTGAGTGAATCTTACGAATCAGAGGCTTGCTAAATCCAGGCCTCTAGGATCCTTAGTTAAGTACTTTGACTATGGCCTCTGCGATAGAAGTAGAAAAATCTGGCTCAGAATGCTCTTGATACAAATCTGTGAGTGAGCTAGACATGATAATGAAGCTGCTTCTCACTTGCCTTCATATTAGGCTAACTTCAATTCTCTGCACATTATTTTAGAAGGCTAAACACATGCTGTATGATACCTGTGGCTGTTCCACAACTTCTCCCCACCCCACCCCCCTTTCTTTCTTTTCACTGAGAACACAGCTTTCATTGGTCACTTCTCCATTTTCCCCTGGTGGGGGTAAGGACCCCACCTCCGGTCCTCCCCCAGTGGCATTCTGATAGGACTGGGGTTTCTCTCTTTTATAGAAGAGATAGAAGAATATTTAAAGAAAATACCAATGGCCATTAATAAAAACTGGACAAAGAATTCTACAAAGTCCTAATACACAACCTTGTGGCATCTGCAGATATTTTTTATCATATTAATTACAAAACAAGCTTTTTTTCATATAAGTGATAAATTACAGGGCATTCTGCACATTTTCCCTTGCAATGCTCTTGATATTGCTAAAAATCTAGGATTTTTTTTCTACAGTATTCTTTTTGTTGATAAATTATTCCTTTATTAGGATAATATTCTAGGTAGTTTTCTATTTCTCATCTCATTTAATTCCTATTTACAGATGAAAAGATAAATGCTAAAAACAGTAAGTAACTAGACCGAGGTCACAAAGCTAAGAAGCAACTTTGACTCTTAGTCATTTTACTTATGATTAACTCACACCAAATCTATGTGAAACTCTTTTTTACAAAATTATAGCATTTAAGAGTTAAAAGGAATCTCAAGAAAATGCAATGTTTGCTAAGAATGCCTTCAAAATAGGAACCGAAAGGGTGCTGTTGCATGAGTAAGCTGCTGTAAGTCACAGGCCCAGAAAGCACTGCCCCAAGGAGCCAGCCCAGATGCCTATAGATGAGTACCAGTGTGGCATTCAGCTTCCAGTCTGGCCAGAAAAAATGGGAGAAAGCCTATGAGGGTGTGGGAGTAATCCTTTATGTAGTATTTCTAGTATAACTGAAAAAGAAACTGTAATTAATCCTTTACGTAGTACTTCTACAATAACTGGTGGGGGTGGGGTTTGAGGGGGAAACACCCCAAAAGAACTGTAAGCAATTTTCTCATTTAAAAAAAAAAGTCATATACAATCTACATAACACACACAGTACAAAAGGAAAAATTCAAGTCAGGCACAGCACCCATTTGTGAATTAGTGAGGTTTATGCCATTATCTCACTGAGATTCATTTTATATTGGTCTGTAAATAGGAAGCTATCCCCACCACTTATTTAAGGCCCTGTAATAATGCTTTACCAGGACTTGAAAGTAGCAACAAAAACACAGAAGATAAGTCATGTTAGGAAACTCTGCAAGTAAATTATGTTCATAGTTATGTACTTATAAAATGAACATATTTCTTATAAAATATAAAATACTACAACATCGTTTCACTTTAAAAATACACAACTGAACTATAACTGACAAGAAAAACCAGTACCTAACAGTAAAATGTTATATACTATTAAATAAAGATCTTGGAAATTTGAAACTGCATATAAGTCCTAATTCTTATATGATTATGTGATAGAAACAATATTTGTTGAAAATTTGTGTATATATATATTATATATAATATACAAGACTTTTGCAAATATTCTAGTCACTTAACCATCCCTACAATCAATGTCAACAAGCATTTAACTGGGATAATAGCTACAATGTGACCTTTTAAATCGCTTCAAATCAGAAGTATGGAGGAGAAAAAATACAGTAAAATATAACTCAGGTTTTACAAATGAGAGCAGATAAGGAAGATAAGTACCTCGTAGTTTGAGAGAAAATCTAGTAACTCTGATTGAGATGGGATGTAGAGAAGTGGTTTCATCACTCGGCGGACAAACTTCTCAATGTAAACAGCACTCATGGGGCCTTTGTACTCGATTGGTCCAAAACTAGTACCAAAAAATAAACATATAATAATAAAAACAATACACCATGCAGTAAATCTGTAAAAGTATAACCGAAACCAACACCACCACAAAATGAAATCATCTTTCATGAAAACTGATTGGTAGAATCATCAACCTGTTTTGTTAAGAATGTGACTAAAGGACCAAGTAAGAATCAGTAGTTTATACGAAGGGAGGGATAAGCAGCCATTAATTCTTCTATGGACTGAACCACAAACTGCATTTTTTAAAAAAAGTATTCACTCGGGGCGGGGGGCGGGGGGGAATTAATTCTCATAGTACTATTTCTTGAAAGAAAGAATGAAAGGCAGCTGTAGAAATTCAAATATATGTTCAAGGATCCCAGGTTCTGAAGTCTATACAATCGATTGTAGGGATAGACTTTCTTAAGTATCACTCTGAAATAAGTTTAGCAGGTCATCTTTGGCCTGCTACAAAATGGTTATTAAATATTCCCAAAAGCACTTGGGCAAAGGATCACTAAATGAGCTCTAAGTCTATTTAAATCTTTATTGAAGCATAAAGTATGTGAAGGTTTGAGATCAGGGACTTATATAATGACTTTCTTTACCTTCCTCTCTAGTTGTGCTCGAGGACACATAGGAATCTGATTTGGCCTTACTAAGCAGTGAAGCTCAGATAGCCTAGTGCTAAAGAGCTGTGCTGCCGTTCCAGATGCAGAAGGTTCAAATCCATCAGCTGCTCCAAGGGAGAAGGATGGACAATCTCCTCCCAAGTGATTGTTAGCTTCTGAAAACCCACTGAAGGGTCAGCTATGAGTCAGTTACAACTCAATGTAACGTTAACAATAACATTACTAAGTAGTATCACCCACATTCAATTGCTCTAAGCACATTAGAATATTTACAGTCATTTTTCAATTCTGCACAATACAGACACTGTTCAAATAAAACTGGACAGTATGTGATAGGGGTTGAGTACAACTCCCTAATTATTCTTTTCTCTAAGCAGAAATTGACAGTAAACTTACTGTTAATAGCAAGAAACAGAACAATAAAGAATTGTTAGAAATGCTATAACACTATATGTTAAAATACATGGTTACAGAAATTATCTCACACAAACACAAACTTGATGAGATAAACTCAGTTTTTCAATAAGCACTACAGAATATGCCATCAGGCAAAGAGATGGAAGCACACGCAAAAAAGTAAAAACCGCATTCCTCATACATAGCTGAGTCTTACTACAAGATAGTAAAGTTTACAAATAACCACCAACAAATCCATTAACAACTTTTCAATTAAAGGGAAAAAATCAATAAAGCATGTGATTATTGATTTTATTTAGAAAAAACTAAACTGGAAACCTCATCTACTCAAGCAAAAAGCCTTTGGGGCATTTTCTCAGCATACCCTGTAAAAGTCGTGCTGACTTGTTGCAAAGGCTACCAGGATCCCAGAATGTAGGGTATTGTCTTAGCACTAAGGACAAGCTGATCTAGAGCTGCTGGGTTCTGTAAAGAGGGATTTTACACACCACTGCCAGCTTCAGAATTTTGAATAAGCTTTTTTTAAATTTGTATCAATATAAACAAACAAAAATAGAACATACTCTCACCAAACTGTAAAGTTTATTAGTGTCTTTAAGCAGCTGCTTCTAAATAAACTATTAAACAACATTTTTGCATATAATTCATACATGTGAACAATGAATGCACCCCCACACATTGACACATTAGCATGCATAGAAAATTACCACTCCCTGATTCACTGTTGGTGGGAGTGTAAAATGGTGCAACCCCTGTGGAAAGCAGTATGGCGCTTTCTCAAATAGTTGCAAATAGAGATACCATTTGACCCAGCAATTCCACTACTGGGAATATACCCTGAAGAGACCATAGCTGACATCCAAGCAGATATA